AATGAAATCGTAGCTTTGTGGAGAAAGGTCTTAGCTTCAAAATCATGTTTTGTTTTTTTGGTGTTACATTTCCATTTTTGGTATACTAAAGGATATACAAGACCAATAAAAAGTTGTGGGACTAGGTGTCCTGCACTATACAGCGGATTAAAATCGTATTTTTCCGCAAAAAACATCCGCAAATTTGCGCAGCATCATGAAAATATCCAATTTAGAAATTGATTTGGCGATTTGCGGATGATTTTTGCGGATTTCTTGTCCATAATAATAATAACGGATTTCTTTGGCCGGATAATTAATTATCCATTATTATTATTATTTGTGAATTCTAAATCCGGATATCTGGTCAAAAATTAACCGGATACAATTATAATAGTAATTATCGGTGACACATTTATTTTTTATAATCGAATGTTTGGGATGCTATGACACAATAAAACGGTTTAATTCTCTAATATGCCGAATTATTTATTAATATTAATATATATATTTATAAAAAAAGAAATTATTATGATAAAAATGATAAATCTTGCAATATATGCAATTTACAACAACATATTTACACCAGTTAAAATACATGTGACTAATAGGCCAAGTGTTCCTATTAAACCAAATCTACCTCTACCTCTTTTTACTGGATCACCTATTTGATAACCTTTTGCATAAGCCACACGACCTAAATAATAATAATGATATTATTACGAAAATTACTGTAATTATTTTAAAAATAATAAATAATGATTATTTAATTACTTATAATCCAAATTAATCCTGCGACAGAAGCGATTTTTGGATATTGTAATCCACCAAAAGTCAATCTAATCATCAGATTAAAAACAAAACAAGTATGTGAATTATTATTATTATTTACTATTCATTTATTAATGATAATTAAAATTAATATTTACTTACAAAAATAAAAACTGTGGGTAAGTTTCAAGAGTATTCTGAAAAAAAAAAACCTATAGTTTAGTTATTTATTTCTTCGAGAAATCAAATGACTTGATGATTTGATTGGTTGTACCTGATGAGCTCTTTGATAACAATTGAAAATAAATTTGCTTTTATCTTTTTCTGCTTCTTCGTTTGTCGCATACACTAAAAAAATCAATCAAAAATACTTTTAACCAACAATCAATCAATCAACCAACCAATCAATCAAATAATTAAAAAGAAACATTTACAAATAGGATATTTGACGTTGTATTTTTTCCTTGCAGAAACAACA